CAAAAAATAATTTAAAAAAGAAAGTATTAGAGCAGTAGAGAGGGGTTAATTAACTTTTTTCATGTCCATCTTTGATTTGATACTAGAGATGCTGAACTACTCTCTGACAGCAATATCTGACATATATGAAAGGGTTATATTCAAAACGTATCCCAAATATTTACATTGGTAGATATGAGAAATCAGTTGACTTATAATTTACTTCAACTGTGGGCTGATGTAAGGCAATTTAGTATTCAGTGTACCTGCATTCCAAATTAATAGGGAAGGATGAAAAAGTCAAACATTTTCTAACTTAAAAAAATTTAGAGCAAGCAAATAACAGAATAAAATTGCTGAATCATAGATCTTGAAAGAAAATCAGCCAGTCTATTTCTTGTCCTGATTTTAGGGAGAGTTATTCAAGACACATGCACTTTTTTTGAGGAGACTATGAGACACAGAATGTTAACAGTCTTCATTGTCAAAAATCTTCCTAAAATTTAGTCTAAATGCCTCATGCATCACTTGAAGCTCATTTCCTCTCATTGAGCAGACGCAGAACAGCTGCCGGCATCTTGCATCTGCACAGCCCTACCCTTCTCCTACCCATGTTATAAAATGCCCTTCTGAAATGGGAGTGGGAGGCCAATTGGAAACAGGAGAGAAAACTCTCAAAAAAATCTGTGGGAAATGACGTTTTAAACTCAACTTAGAACAGGGCTATAGATTAGGTCAATGAAAGAGCCAAAATACTGAAGTGCTGTCCCTCGAATAATTCTAATTCCTTAAACAGTATTATGGGGTCATAAAACACCAAGCCTGAAAATTAAAAATTTTTATGCCTCATCAAAAAGTCTTTGAGTGTAACTTCCTGGCACACTGCCAACAAGGGCAGCTCTTCGGGGGAAAACCCTATGCCAAAGGCCAAAGAGGCAGCTGTGTTATTCAGCTCCTGAGAGCTTCCAACTCAACACCCACACAAGCTCAATTATGAACAAATTAAAGGGATCCAGACTGAACACAGTAATTCTGGTAATTTAAATAAATAGAGGAATGTCTACAATTAGTAGGAAAAGATTGATTTTCTGGAAAACCCAGAAGTAACTACCCGGTCTCTTGAATGACATCCTAACCCCTTTGAATAAGTATAGTTACACCCGATTATTTAAAAATATATTTCCTTTTACTCATCATTTTAATCATTTCTGACCTAACTTAAATGTGACCACATGCATGCTGGCAAAAGTATCCACAAAATATTGAGAAAAATAGCCTTAAAAAACCTATAATTGATATATAGAATTCATGACACAGTAAAATTGTAATAAAAGTTGTACACCTAATGTTTTAGGGCATACAGATAATGTGTTACTCATTTTTAGAAGGGTTTAATATATATATCTGTCGTTAATCAAATGAGCATCTTTTCAAGTGCAGAAAAAAAAATTAGAGTCATTCAAAAAGAATCAAAGATTTAATATTGGGGAATCAATTAATTCACTTCTATTTTACTAATAGAATAAAGAACAAAATATACATCACCCTGTATAGATCCTTAAAATCACTTAATAAAATTCAACATACATTCCTGATTTAAAAAAATAAAAGCAGCAATAAACTTTTAGGAAGCTAGGAATACAAAGAAACTTATTTAGTCTGATAAAATGTTTTTATCGGGAACAAACAGCAAACATTTTAATTAATGGTCACACACATATCAAGGAAGCATTCCTGTTTAATCTTTAAACTCATTTTGATTAGCTGTTTCTAAAGTTCATGTGGGAGAATAAATGCACATAAAGAGCCAAAGTAACTCTACAAAAGAAGAAAATCAGAGGAAGATTATCCTATAAGTAATCAAAAAGTAATAGCGTGGTAATTTAAACAAGATGATGCTGGCATGGGACAGACTAATAATAGAATAGCATATCTAGAAACCCACTCATGTATGTACATAAGGGAATTTAGTAGTCAATGTACCTGCGTTAAAAATTAATAGAAGGATGAAAAAGTCAATAAATGTTATTAATGATTTGCCTATTTATGTGGAGAAAAATTCTCCCACCTCATACACCATGAATAAAAATAAATTCTAGATTGCTAAACATTAAAAAACCCCACAATAACCACAAGACTCTAAAAGCACCAGAAGAAAATAAATGAGAAAACCATAAAAGCCAAAAGTCACAAAGGAAGAAAAGATGGAAATATTTGACTGTATGGTAAAGGATATCACAATCAAACTAAAAAGATAAATAATAGGTTGCAAGAAGTTATTTTCAAGATGCAAAACAATATTCTAAATTGAAAGAGAAAATTGACAAATGGCGACACTGGCAAATGATATAAAGAGCACGTTGCAAAATAAAAAACAAAAAATAAAAATGAACAAAACAAAAAATAAAAACTTCAAGCCCAAGTTCAATCAAAAGAAGAAAATAAAACTGTAAACTAAAACTAATTATTATAACGTAACACTACGCAACTATTATAAAGAAATGTAATGTGATATGCTCATAGATGGGCAGGCAAATAGGTGGAGGGCTTTCTAGAAGGATATACATAGCAAACTATTTTTAAACTATGTTTGTGCCTGGTGAATAGGAAAAGGAGAGGGGGAAGAGGAGGCTTCACCTTGCATAATAAAAATTGTCTTTGGAAATATAAGTGAAAATCAGTATATGGAACCCACTCACCTTTAAAATAGTTTGAATATATGAACTCATTAATATGCAAGTTAAGATACTAGCTTAGTCTCACTAGCAAAAATGAAAGAAAAAAAAGGTACGGATGGCGCCCCATAGCCTTTGAAGATTCCTGCAAACTTTATAAAGGAAGAATAGCCAATATAAACTAATTACACAATAAATAGGAGATTTTATCTTTATGTTTTATTTTGAACGATATGAAACTGCTGTTTTATGAGGTCAAAAATAGTCAAATAACACTAATTCAGTATTCAATCTAAATACTTTAGGATTTTTAAAAACTTTTAAAGACTGGATTTCGACCCTGCTGAGAATATTATTCCTATCATCATAGTCACTAACCTTTTTAGCAAATATATTAATTTCTTACACTGGCCCAGTGCTACATATGTAAAATTAAACTACATATAATATTCTATTCTCCTAATCAAACAGGAAAGAAACTTCCAAATGTTTACTATTGGGGGTATCGCCTGAGTTTATTCATTGAGAGAGTCAACAACATTTATTGAGCTCACTCGACTGTTCTGGGAAGAAGAGGTCAAAATGGTCTTAGAATGCTGATCCTCAGAGCCTCTGTAAGACTATTAGCTTTACACTGGCACTTCTTGGAAGGGGCCAAACTTTCATGATGACTCTAAAAATGTTTTTACGGCATGTTATTGTGTACTTCTGCTTGCTGTGTGGTACATTTTAACGATGCCTTCAGTTTGGTGCTTGTGTCCTGAAGAAAATAGCTCACGACCTGCCCAATTTTGTAAACTGAACAAACATTACTATTATTGTTGTCATGTACAGCACATGTACAGTAAAATGCAATGAATGACTGCTAACTGTACATATTTTGCGAGGACTATTTCAATTTAAGAGAGAAAACTTCTTAAAAACAACTTTTAGTGAAACATATAAACAGAAATACTATTTCTGGAAATGCCTTAGATTTTATTTTTTATAGATTTGATAATATTTTTTTTCTCAAATTAAAATGAATACTATTTTTTCCTTTTGTAGAGATTTTTTAGAACTGGCCACTTTTTAAAAAATTTCTCTCCCCCAAATTAAAAGCAGTTTCTATCCATTCATCTTCTTTATACAGAAATTAGGAAGACAAAATAGGAAATGTTTATCAAGCACTTCATGAAAATAAACTGCTCCTTATGTTGTTAGTAATAACCTATGTCTCCGCCACACATTATTCCTTTCGTTTGTCAAAGATTCACGCTTGAGAAAATCCCCTTCTGACCAGTGCACGAGACAGCTTCCTTGTTAAGGTTTCCTACCTGTCTCTCACTACAGGCGATTAGAGCAAATGCATCTCAGTGATTTGGTTAATTTATAGAAAACAAAATCAATTTATCTTGCTTCATCATGATTGAACATTATCATGAACTTCCGTAAATGAGTAACAGATAAGCACTATTTATCAGATTGTTTGGAAGAGAATACAGTTTTGATTATTCTTTTTTCTTGTTGCTACTAATGAAATATATAATATGCCTCCAGAAAAACACAATTGCAAAGCCTGGCCTCCAAGCATTTGCAAAGCAATAAATATTTTGCTGAGAACTTATTTCGCACCCACACTTTTCACTAATAGTGCTAAGAGCCTGTGGAAGGGCAGTGATGTTCTCGGGTATCTGAGATATCTTCTGAGGTCCCCCATCCCAGGGCCTAGAGAACACAGTTGGCAGGGGCCCTTGCTCTGTTCCGGTAGCCAATAGTCACCCAGATATTCCCTGTGGTACTCAGAACCTCAACAAGGTTGTTCTGGCAGCGACCCAAGGTACCTTGACACCCTCAATCTGGCAAACCCAAGGCACCCTTCTTCCCTTCAGCATCATGGGATTTGGGGGAAAGTGATGAATCTTCTCCATTGCTGCCATTCCTATCCATCATACATGGAGAAGAAGAGAAGGACTGGAACCACCACGGAAGAGGAACATTTAACCACATTATCCTCCCAGGCCCTGCCACAGGTTTATCCATAAGGACAGGAAATGCAGATACAAAGGCAGGTGAGTTAAAGATGCTTCTGGCATTCAGATCCTCCAGAAGGAATCATATTTTTCTGATCTACAGAGGGAGAACATTTTATGGCCCACTTTATAAAAATAAATCATTTCCCCCTTTCTTTCACAAAGAGGATAATTACAATTAAATGTGTGAGGAAATAGGAAGATAAGATGACTCCAGGCTTCTGCCGACCTTGCTCCCTGAGGTTTGAGTTGAAGAAACAAAGCCAGGACATATGGGAAGATAGATGGGCTGAGGCCGGAGAGCTGACCTGGATGTCACCTCACCCTCGCTTACCAAGGTCCATGCTCTTCGAGGCTTTCAGATTAATTGATTCAGGCTGCCTGGCCGGTGTCACACATCTGAAGTTGATGTGCTGATCTGGGAAATATACTGCCGAATCCACCGCAGAGCTGCGGAGAAAAGCCATATGCCGTATTTAGGTTTAGAATAAAATCTCAAGAAACAGAGAGAGTGAGAGAGAATTTCTCATTCTGAACACAGCCCCTCATCAGTCTCTCTGCTACTCCCATGTATTTTAAATCAACTCTTGAATCTCAGGTTTCTTTTATTAGATGTAGCAACTCCGTTATCATGTATTTTATCATGACGTACAATTTAAATAAAATATTCTCTGGCTCATATGTTTTACTCTTTGCTAATTTTTGCTAATTGGGATCCCACTGTACAATATATAACTTTAAGTGGGTAAGGGGAGCCTGTAAAGCACTATCACTTCAAAGGATGTCACCAGATAACAGTAGAGCCTAAGTGCACGTTAGGAGACTTCTGTGGGCTAAACATGCCCTTCCTTTAAAAACAAGTGAAAAGGTTGTATCCTTTAGAGAAAACCATTCTGTTGAATGACTGATGGCTGTAGAAGTTTGGTTTTCTACTTTATTTAGGTCTATTTCTAAAACTAATTTTAATGCTGAGCAGATAGACTGCTCATCAACAATATCAAAAGGAAACAACAGGAAAAGCATAGTTAACGATTTAGACACAAGACACATCAAATGCCCATTATAGGCTTCTTAGACTTGTAGTCAATCTCAAAGAATTTTCTTTTTGCTGAATATCATATGGCTTATTTCTTGATCTAGACATAAATTATATTTATATACTTTTATAAATCAAATTACATACACTTTCTCCCTTGGTACTCTCATCTGTTCAGTAAGTAAATATGGTGGCTCAACTGAATGTAACTTCTGTCCTAATCCCAAATACAGTGAAAACTCAAATCAAGTATCCTTAGGAAATCTGACAGTACTGGAATTGAATTTTTCAAACAGTTGAAGTTTGATACTTTAAATACCAAGACAACAAAAATAACTCTTCTATATTTAAGTCCTTCTTAAATGTATAGGGAAATCTCGACTTTAAACATACCAAAATAAGTTTAACCTTTTCTTGAAACCCATCAGTCATGAATATTTAATATTTCCTTGCAGCAATATTACAATTAACATGCAGCAATAATATGGTTGCTAAATAAATAAATGAAACTCCATTATTATTACACGGAGGGTAGATTAAGTAAGTACTCATGACAGGCAGCACAGCATAGTGCTCAAGAGCAAGGACACTGCAGCAGGTCTGCTGGGTTCTAAGCCCCAGCTCTGCTACTTACTAGCTGTGTGACCTGGGGAAGTTATTGCACTTCTCTGTGCTTCAATTTCCTCATGTATAAAATGAGTATAATTACATTCTCTATTTCATAGGGTTGTTAAGAGGATGGATGAGTTAAGAGATGAGTATTTGGCACACAGTAAGTGCTATAGAAGTGATTCGTTAACAAGTAAGCAGGGAGACCTGCTTTTTGCTTCCAGAATGACTATAAATTTCTGAGCTTTCCCAGATATCTATGCTTTTTAAAGTTTCTTTGCCATTTCTGTTTTTATCAGACTCTCAGAGGCCTGTGGCCAAGACCACTTCTCTCTTCTCCTATGATAACTAGGGGATTGGGCTCTACAGGGGGATGCCAGGGTGTGTGGCCTCAGTTTCCTCATCCATAAAACGGATAGTAATATGATTTACCCTATAAAGTTTCTGTAAGGATTAAGCAAATTAAAGTAAGTTAAATACTGAGAAAAATGCCTAGCATAGTAAGAACTCAATCAATGTGAGCTATTAATAATCCTTTTCTTTATTTCTGCAGGTTAGAATGGTCTGTGAATGAGGGTCTGAGGCACTCTACAATGAAAAGATTCTACATGTTTTCATAAAAATTTCTCAAGATGTTTAAATCCATTCTTCAGAGTCGTGAAGCTTTTTTTTTAGCTTCTTCCCTAGTATCTGGATGTATTCTCAGAAGATGAAGCTATTGACATATAAAATATATTAGTGGTGGGTATCTAGTGATGGCAAAATGTGCCAATTGTGAACAAAAATCCTTGACCCACTTAGTGTTACTGACCTGGCCTGGCTGAATACCAATACTCTCATTTTTTTTCAGCCCATTTTAAAGAAGAATTCTGAGATGCTATTGTGAACATGAGCTTCCTCCTGAGCTTTGGCTTTTTGGAAGCACTTGCCTTTAAATGTTATTTGACCTTTATTTGCACTTAGTTTTCTATCCTTTGATCTCTAGTGATGATGTGAGTTTAGTGTCAGAAAGACTCATGGCCTTCATAGAATCAAAGAATTTAAGAGCCGGAAGGGATTAAAGGTCACTTCATCTTTCAGATAAGACCCTGAAGCCCAAAGAGGAAGACTGACATTCCAAGGTCACACAGCTCACCAGGGGCAAAGGCATGACCAGAGTTATAAGGTGTGGCTAAAATGGTGGCCAGTCTGGGACATGGGCTGTTACTGATCCTGAATCCACAAAATCAAGCCTTTCCCTTTTGATGAAAATTGGCTCACGCTTTATGTGTCTTGCACTTTAGGTTAGCTTTTTGTTTTAATAGAGTGATTCATATCATGAAATAAAAGAAAACCAAATAGTTAATCAAAGCAGATGTCATACAGTATAATGAAAGCCTTCAGGGAGGAGGCTTAGGACAAACAAGAATATTCCTCATTAAACCATATATCACGCTGCATTTAAAGTGCACTGCTCAAGGCTAACTATGAGAATTTACCCAACTGAGTAAAGTATTGGTTAACCCAATTCATTGTCTTAGATTATGTTACCAAACTAAGCAATAATTGGCAAATTAGAAATAAGACCTCAAATTTTCCCAGACTCTTGAGAAACAATGATCTCCATTCCCACTTAAAAAAAAAAAGGTGGCAATGCCACTTGCTATAGTAACATCAAGTTAGGATCTGTCCAAATGAAGTGAATGTTTTTTATACAAATGTTGGGATATAATCAAGGATATACAAAGCTGCTTTGTACATATGAATATAGCAAATATTCTTATATATATATATATAAATAATTTCATTAAATTGATCAGCATATATATATGCATGTTACCATTATTTTGATTGTGACCCTTCTGGTCCCTCTTGCTGTGGTACAAAATGGAAATAAGGCAAAATAAGGCTGATATCAGATTGGCAGGTATTTAAGGAGGGAAGTGTGTATAATATAAGACACTGTGGGATTAGAGCCAATGTGAGCATATAGTGAGTGCACTGAAATAATGAGTACAGCATTGAATTAGTTAATTTGAAAATATTTTAGACATGTAAGTTAGACAAGTAAAATGGTTTGTAATTTTATGCTACATATTAAAGTGTTTGGAGTGAGAAGGTGACACAATGATTAGCTATAAAATATGACATATTTTAACTTTGAAGGGAGTTAGCATGTGCTCATGGCTGAGTGGGCTGCAGTGGAAGCTGTGGGAAGCTGGAAGTTGACAGCAGGCCAGGGACATGTCTTAGATAAAGGCCGTGTTTTCAGCATGAACAACCAGGGAATCTACCAAATAGAAATGATACTCAATGTCAAATTATGCTGCAAAATGAATAAATAAGGGTAGCATGAAACATATGCCAGTGTCCTGAAGATGGTGACAAACCAGGAATGTGAAAGACATACAAGAGCCAGCAATGAATGTTCAAGGAGAACTGTCCGAAATAAAAAGGCAGGGGAAGTAGATTTTGAGAGGTATGCCAAAAAATACTACATCTGAAGCCTCAGGTGTGCACGGATAGGCTCCAACAACTGGCTACTATGAATGACAGTATATGTAGGTTGTGTGTGAAATAAAGAGGAGAAAGGGAGAGAGAGAAAAGGGAAAATATGAACATGTAGGGAATAAACAATTGTTGTCTGGCTAGGTAATAATATTCACTATATTCTGCCTGCTGTCAATTTGCCTCACACTCTCCTCAAGATTTCATGCAAAAAATATATTTCCCTTTTATTTATTTTTTATTTAGACACATTCTAAACTTTCTTCCAATAATCGTTGGCATAACAATACAAATGAGTTCAACAATTTCCTCATTTCATTTTGATTCAAAGTACTGGCATTAAGTTTGATCAGATTTGTCTTTCATTCCTCATGCAATAACAGTTTTTGTTTCACAAGACTGGGTCCCCCCAAAGCACCACTTTTTCCTTTTAGAGGGCTTTTAAGTTTTTCTCTGAAAGACAGGACAGCCCCCCTTGCTCAGCCCTCCTGGCTCCCTTCCAGCCCTTCTTCCAACCCAAGTTTCACACATCCAAACCCCCACTGCTGTGGTCACCTAGGCAACACAGCAGCTTGCAGGATGGTGCAGGTCACACACAGGATCCCAGGACGGGGAGAGTTTTAAGGCATAAGACTTGTTCTATCTGGCTTAAAAATGTCCCTGTCCTTTACTCTTCACCCATGCCATGTCCCCCTTAACTTAGGCCTTGCTCTTCCCTTGCTAGTCCTGAGTCTAACGCCTCTCCTTGTCTGTGGCTTCCCCCATCTACTCCATCTTCTACAACTGAAACCACACAGCCTGATATTGTCATCCCCAGGTTGGAAGCCCTTTAATGCTTCCCTGCAGCTCTCTAAAGATGCATGGCACTCACAGAGCATGGCAGACAACTCCTTCCCATTGATTCTTCCCCTAGATAATGTAAGCTTTGGCCACAGTGAAAGCACTATGCATTCCCATCACTGTTTCCTAACATGCATTGCCCTTCCCACCACTTCTCTGCCCAGTGAGCTCCTTTCCGCTTTCCAGGAAACCATTCAAACACCATCCCCCCTGTGAGTCCTTCCTTGACAACTACAGGCAGAGTTAATGGCTCATTCCTCACTACCACCCTGTTTTGTATCTAATGCTTAGCAGCCTCCATCCTAATTGTCTGTGTGTCTGTCTTCTCGAGAGGACACCACATTTTTTGCAGGCAGGGATGTTTTCCAATCCATTTGAGTTCCTTCTACAGTGTCTGGCTCAGAGCTCCAGAAATATTTTTTAATGGATGAGTGAGTGAATGAATGACAATGACAGAAAAGAAAAGTTAATGTCAGAGCAGAAAAGAAGAATAAAGTCTAATAAAATGTTATCCTTTGGGCTGAAAGGAGATTACTGTTGACATTTGAGAGCAGTTCTAATAAAGTAGTGAGAACAGAAGGCTACACACCGGGGTGAGGAAGAAAGTGGGTGAAAAGGAAATGTAAGTTACTAGTTCACACCATGTAATGAAGATTTACAACAGTGAGGGACAATATTAGCTTCCCCCCCCAACCAAGATCACAGAAAAATGAGCTTTACAGAAAAGTGAAAGGAGGAAATCTTTGGAGACACTAGAGAAGTCAAAAAGGAAGTTGCTAAATCCCAATAATTCTATCTAAACCACCTCACTCACCTGAAATTTTCTCATCTGAGAGTTTCTCTCTCACCTTCCCATCCCAGGTCCTCAGGACCTCTCACTGCAATTGCCCCATGAGGTATCCAAAGAGCCTCTGTTTACCCAATCCATGTTATACACAATGAAGTCCCAGGTTTTATCATGGCTACTGTCTGCTAAAACACTTCAATAAGATTTTACTATCTACTGAATAAAGTCTGTATATCTTATCCTTGCACTCCGGGCTTTGTCGTCTGGCTAGTCAGCCATGATGCAAGTTGCACAGATCAGTCTACTTTCCCACCTTCATGCTGTTCCTTCCATCCTTCCCTTTTCTGAAGTTCCCTCCCTTCCTGGGCTCATCTCATGTCCACCCACTATTCATGATTTGAGGTTAAGCTCAAATGACACTTTTACCATAGCCTTTTTTCCTGATTCCTCTATCTAGAAGCATTCTCCTCTGTCTCAGATGCCCAGAGCCTTTTATGTACATCTTCTGGTAAGTATCACCTTGCATTCTAGTTGTCTCACATGTCTACCCACTAGTCTATAAGCTTCTTGAGGCTGTGTTTATATCTGGTTCATCTTTGTGCCATCCCAACAGTTTTGCACAGAAGAGATATAGAATAAACAGTAAAGTAGAATGAATGAAATTATCTTTCATATGAATTTTTTATATCACTAAACTGTCATTTTTGAATCAGAATAGAAGCAGGCAATAGAAATGAATGAACAAAATTAGATATGCCCACATTTTCTTTCAAGAAACCCCCAGAGACACTGATCTAGAAAATTATTGTGATTATTAATCTAGTTCAAGAAATTGTGTTTCAGTAAGATAACTGACTTTAAAAGTATAAGAATCAGAGGTAGCTAAATATAGGTAAGCTTCCATCTAATACAGTTAGCTATACTCTTGTGTTGCTTTATTTTTAGCAGATTGTATTAAAAGGCAAAATAGAAATGACACTAGCGTTGCTGCAAGAAAAATGAAGAAATTTCACAGGATTATCATGGGACATAGAATGGAATAAAATGCAGTTTTTAACAGCCATAATAAATACAGAAAATAGCAAAGGGACAATTTAATGATTTTTAAAACTCATCAGAAAAACAAAATCTATGAATTCCAGTAGTCAAATAGCTTGTATGCTTAGTAAATCTCTCTCTCATGCTTGTGTGATTCTAAAAATTATTGATTTTTTTAGTTTCTATTACAGAATGAATATAATATTGGGTACACTTTTCTATATTTTACATTATATATGATATTGCTCTAAATTTTAGATTCCATTAACTTTCTTGGAACATCTATTTTTAAAATACCTTTAGGGTTTGCCCATTACCAATGAAAAAAAACACCCTAAGCAAGCTTTATGTTTTCTCAGTTTTGTTTTATTCCTTCCCATATAACTTTTCTTTGAGCTATACCATTTCAGTTTTTAAACATGTAAGAAAAAAATCTGAACCATTTTCTTAAATATTTTAATAGTGTAAGATGAATTTTAACAAATTCTAGGGAGCAAAATATGAACCATCTAAGCTATTAGCTGTGAGAAGCTTACACTGGAAAGGAATTATAGGTACTGTGAGATTTCCATTCTGGAAAGAAATAGAGTTAAAATAAAGTTGTTGAGTTTTCCCAGAAAAACAATAACAGGAAACACTTATGATATATCATTTTATCAATACCTGTGGCTGTAATCTTCAAGGCCCAATTCCAGGCCAGGATGTGGTGGAGGAGAAGGTGGTACTTCACTCTCGGCCCATCCGTCATCGGGAAGCAAGAGGTCTATAAAGAAAGAACGAATGAAGCTGTAGTAAACTGGAGGCACGTTCAGTACCTGGTTTCATTTCAGTCCATCTCTCAGACACAATTTTAACCAACACATAAACCAGCCTTGAAATAAATAAGTCCTTGCATGGAACCAAAGGATTTGTATGAGAATTAATACAGCCTGTAGGAGGAAATCTAAGCCTGCTAATATATTTTTACACTGGTGACCTGCTGTGATCCCTGGCAAGTCAAGGTCATGCCCCTTGACTACCTTTTCTCATCTATGAAAGGCTAACACATACTCACTACCTGTGATTTGGGGAAGATTAACACAGACATCTCTTCCATGCCTTAACATTTTTGTAAACAAGACTCTATAATGAATACTCTGGATTACATGGTGATTTAAACATTTGCCTCAGTGACAATTCTTTAAAAAGTTATGAGATACAGTATATCTACTCACCATTTAGACATAGCAGAGGGGAAAAACCACTCTTTTTGCATCTGTCCCATAGGGAAACACCAAGGTTTAAGGCCTTATAAGCAAAAAACTGGGATTTGAATCCTGGTTTCTTCACCTAATAAAAATGTATATTTTTCCCAATCTACTCTGTACTGTAATAATAGACATGTATCCTGAATATCCCTACAACTAATAACAAGTAAGGTTTGTTGAGATCTTACTGCATACCAGAAATTGTGTTAAGATTTATGTACAGTTTATCACTTAATGCCCATAAGTAATAATAACATTAACTAATGTATGCAAAGCATTACAGACCATCCTGGTTAAGAATATGGCTTTTGGAGCAAGACTGCCATGTTTCCAACTCTGGCTCCTATTGTTTTGTGCACTTGAGCAAATTACTTGATTTCTCCATGCCTTGCTTTTTAAATCTATAAAGTGGTGATAAGATATCTTCTTCATTGGAGGAGTGTGAGGATTAAATAAGATGGTGCATATTCAAGCAGTGACTATAAATGTTAATGTAAGGGATTATTATTCCATAAAGCAAAAATTCTACTGTGTATCTATTACAGTGAGATATTTGGCAAAATGTGGATTCTATTTGTTCCTGACTGATGCAATAAGGGAAAGATTTCTCTGTCCTTGGGAACTACTGTAGGTAACAGAACCAGCTTTTACCTGTTCACATGCCAGGTGTGATGGTTAATTTTTTTGTGTCAACCTGAGTGGGCCACTGGGTACCTAGGTATTATTCTGGGAATTTCTATGAGGCTGTTTTTGGATGAAATTAACATTTAAATCAGTAGACTGGGTAAAGCAGATTGCCCTCTCTCATCTGGGTGAGCCTCGTCCAATTAGTTGAAGACGTGAATAGAACAAAAAAGGCTTACCCTCCCCTGAGTAAGAGAATTCCTCCTGCCTCACTGCCTTTAAACTAGGACATCAACTTTTCTTGCCTTCAGATTCAAATGGAAACATCAGCTCTTTCTGGGTTTTAATCCTGCTTCCCCTACAGACTGAAACCAGGCCCTCAGCTTTCCTGGTTTTCAGGCCTTTGGACTGGAACTACACATCAGCTCTCCTGGGTCTCCAGCTTGTTGACTCACTCTGCAGCTCTTGGGACTTGTCAGCCTCCACAATTGCATGAGCCAATTCCTTATGATAGATCACTTTATTTACACACACACACACACACACACACACACACGAAATAATTACCCTATCTGCTGTACCGTACACACACACACACACACACACACCCCATTGCTTCTGTTTCTATGGAGAAGCCCGATGCCCCAAGCTCTGCCCTAGGGACAAGTCTAATATGGAGGTAGTTGTAGCAGTGCCGATGTGTCCCTGGGAATGAGGCTGCAAGCAGGAGGTCTGATCAGCAGGTAACCAGGGTAAAGAAGCATGATGACACACGCAGCCACGCCTGACTCCTGCCCACCACCCCTAGGGACCCAGGGATCTGGTAGTAGTGGCAGTAGTCAGGCAGCCAGAGATTTGCTAAGAAAAACAGAGCAGAAGAACTATAATGTAGATAAGGGACAAGTTGGTACAACATTTTTTCTGCTGGTTGTAATCTTTCTAGCCTCCACCTCCCAGTCCATCTTCCACACCAGTGGTAAACATGTGTCATCAAGTAACTTGATTGCTCAAAAACACTTCAGTTGTGCACAACTGCTTACAGAATAAAGGTCTGCATCCCTGGTAGTCAACTTTATCTCCAATTACACATTAGTCACCCAAGACTGTGTACTGTTCCCTGACCACACGCCAGGGCTTTCCTGCACAGTGTCTTTGGTAATATAATTGCAAAACTCACTTCATCTGTCAAAGTCCTACCCTTCTCCCAAGGTCCACCTCAAACATCACTGCTGCCTAGGATCTGTCAGTACCTTTACAAAAATGGCAGAGAAAACAGGACTAGTGCTCACTATATCTGCTGTCTGCCTCTCACCCTGGGCATACAACTAGATACCATTTTTTTAGCCCTCTTTTTCCCTAGACTAGTTCTTGCTGATGGAATGTAAGCTGCTATGGAAAATGTCATTCCCAGTCTCAGTGGTTGAGAGAGGGTGCACCATCTCCACTTTCTTCCCCATTCCCCAAATACAACTCAAAAGCCAGGTGATGATGTGCTAGAATATGGTCTAGCAACCAAAGGAAGGAGCCTCGGTTCCTTAATCACGGAGGAGCACAGTCCCCATCCTGCTGCCGAGACTCGGTGGGCTGTAGTATGACCAAGAAATACTGTCTTTATTTATCCACTGACATTTTAGGTTTATCTATTACTTAATATTATGTAAAGTAATTACTGTATAACATTTATCACCTGCTGATTTTGCAATGAGCTGTTTATTGATTCATCAAGCTATCATCTATTTACTTATGTCGATTTCTCTTCCTAGAGTACAGATAACTTCCTAGTTGTCCTCTTTTCTCCTCTCCTTCCGCTTCTGCAGCCTTTTTTCTGGCTGCTTCAAGTTTTATTACAACCATTAACTTTAATTTTTATTACATTCACTTGAACCACCTATGTGGTTTTTGTTGTTATTTTTAAAGTGGTGATAGGTATCTTGTTGGTTGACTCTCTATTTTTGGTACTTTTTAAACAACATATTCAGATGCCATAAGGTATGTTTTTTCTCTGGCCCAAAAACCTTTGTTAAGCCCTGTATCAGTGTAGAAGTCTGGAATTCTTTTCTCCTAGAAATAATATTTCTGGATTTCATTGAGTGTACAAAGTACAGTTCTCTTGATAGTCACTGTTTATATTTACATGCCTGTGAATGCTGGCAGTGTACCCTTTAGTCACTACTTCATTGATGGTCAAACAGCCCTCCTTTTAATTACCATCTTTTGTTTTTGTTGTTTATTTTGTAGGATCCATCTTGCCAAGGTCAGACTGGAAAACATGGATAAAAGAGATTGTGACTTTAGACAAGGGGCCAGCAAACTATGGCCATGGTCCAAAACCAGCCTGACTCCTGGCTTTGTAAATAAAGTTTTATTGAACACAGCTACACCCATGCATTTACATACTGTTTATGGCTGCTTTTGCAGTACAATGGCAGAGTTGATTGTGACAGAGATCCTGTGGCCCACAAAGCCTGAAATATTTACTATCTGGCTCTTTATGAACAAAGTTTGCTGACCCCTGCTTTAGACTATTCTTGGGGCAAAAATTACATTGCATTCATCTTTTATTCCTGATATTCTGCAAAATGGAGGTATCCAATAAACAGTCAAATTGAAAAGTATAATTCAATGTCTGATCACAACTTCAGAGGCAGTACCTTATGTGCTATAGCGGGGTAGATACATGCTGGTTCCCAGGAGGATGCACATTAGAAATAATTACCCTATTATGTGTCTCCTCCAGAGACTCCAGGGAATATAGATCCAGTGGGGAAGGACACAGAACCAAAACCTTTGATTTGAGGTGGGGATGAAAGGCCAGACCCAGTGGGTGATGCTGGGCAGGCTTGGGGGTAATCTGTGATGGGGTGCACTTGAGCTGAAAGGGGGGGGAAGCAGGAGAAGAGCACAAGAGGGGAGACGAGAGGGATGAAAGGAGAGGAAATAACAAACCAGAGGCAGACAGCACTTAGGCTATTACTAGGCCCAGAGTGAGATCTGCCAGCAAGATTCCTCAGAAAATACAGTGTTGGTGCACTTCATTACCATTCAAATGCTTTACAGGATTTTATAGCAAACCCTTGGGACACAACCTCGATCCTTATTACCATCTTGGAGCACCACACTTATTCCACTATGGGCATTGCTAGCAATTTTCCAACACAAATGCAAATTTTCTGGTGTTACAATTTCTACAAACATTCATCCTATCATTCTAAAAATGCCTCTTCTGTGCAGTAGCTTGACAAAAGTAAAAAAAAAAAAAAAAAAAAAAAGAACTGGGAACTGGGGGGGGTATGTACTATTACTACAAAAATATATATTTAAAAATCGAATGGTGATATTCTGTGTTCCATCTATTTTTGTATATTTAAAAATCGAATGGTGATATTCTGTGTTCCATCTATTTTTGTATATTTAAAAATCGAATGGTGATATTCTGTGTTCCATCTATTTTTGTATATTTAAAAATCGAATGGTGATATTCTGTGTTCCATCTATTTTTGCTCACTAGATACTACGTTTTGTCAAGTTAATCTTGTTTTTCTAAAGAAGATTCTTAAAAAAAATCAGTTGTGGTAAGTCAACACTCAAGTTACATGAGTCTTAATGGCCTGTTACTACTTTACATGGATCTGAAACTCAAGTACTCACAGTAATTCTCAAAATATAAAATGTCATTAATATCACAAAGAGGTGATGATCATGATTTTCTTCTATAGCATTATGCTTAAAAATTCTGTTATAATTTTTTATCTGTAAGTAAATAGGCTTATAAAAAGTAAGAGATTTCATCTATTGTCCTCTAACAATTAAAATTTAATGAGTCTATGCTTTGATAGGCCTAATTCTTATAATCTGATACTGGTATCACAGATCCACAGGGAAATAATAAATTTTCTCTACTATTTAAAAAACAATTGTTAGTGGAGTCACTTCTTGAAAGAACTGGATTTTTTTTTTTTCCTTTTTGTCTTTTTTCGTGACCGGCAACGGATCGCAACCCTCAGTGTCACAACCGTACCGGACCAGGACCAGCAACGGGATCGCAACCCTCGGTGTTGCGCCCGCACCTCGCTCAGCCAGTGAGCGGCCGGTCTGTATGTGGGATCCGAACCCTCGGCAGAAGCACCACCGCGCTCCCAAGCGGCGCACTGTAGCAGTGCGCCACTGGGCCGGCCCAGAACTGGATTTTTAATGTTAACTTGGAAAATCGAGGTGGGGGAGGAAGTGAAGAAGCACCACCGCGCTCCCAAGCGGCGCACTGTAGCAGTGCGCCACCGGGCCGGCCCAGAACTGGATTTTTAATGTTAACTTGGAAAATCGAGGTGGGGGAGGAAGTGAAATAGGGACCTTGTAGGTAGCTAATCTGCACAGTAATTTCACTGGTGTAAAAACTGTCTGTCTGGATCTATGTCTCAGGAGGAAGACAAGAGATATAACCACTCAGCATTTGTCTGTGGCCACTTGTGCTCAAAGGACTTTATTTGTTCAGTAGAGATACAAAGTTTGAACATTCTACTGAAGTTCCAAAGTATTACTACATTTTATTTTAGCATGTGCTCTGAATGGATTTTACTATTAATAATTTTTTTTCTGGATATATCCTTATACTTTAACTAGTTCTATAGTTTCATTACATTAGTCTTTGCTATCCTTTCTGGAAATATCCCATACACTGAGTATCTCAATGTCTTCTATAAATATGTTGTGTAAGTATCATCTCAGCATCAATATTTTATAGGTACTGAAAATGAAACAGGATAAGAAGTAAGGTGCTCAATGTTCCTTTGGATGTCATTGGTGTCACTAGGAACAAAATTCTGAATTTAGTCACTGGACCACATGTTGCTTGAGAATTAAATGCCAATCAAATTATATGAAGTCTAGATATTTTAATAGAAATGTCAATGTTCATCATCACAATATGGGCATAATAAAAAGAAGGCTGTTCTGTCTGTAGAAACCTTGCTGTTCCTTTCCCAGACTTCTTATCTATTGTTATTTAAGGTCTCAGAAGGAGATCTTGGTCTGAGAAACCTTAATTTTTTTTGAAATGAGCAACGATATACTGAGTATTTCCTTATCTGGATACAAAGTAAAATCAGCTTCTAATAGATATTCTTAGTATCAGGTGAAAGGACTTCAATAGTTCAAGGGATCAGTGTAAGCCAGGGCCCATGCTGTGGTTTACGAGATGAACTTAAGTCAGAGAGACATGAATTGAATCCAGACTCTGTATGTATCAAGTATGTGGTCTTGGGTAAATTATTTACTCTCACTAACTTTCTATTTCTTCATCTGTAAAATGAGGATAATAATATTACCCACTTTGAGTGTGCATGTAAATTGCTTAACATAGTATCTAACAGAGAGTAAATACTTAAATGGTAACAGCTGTCACTGCTACTCTTGGTAAAATGGAAGAATTCAGAAGAAAAACTACACCCCATTCTGATGAGACAATTTAATTCTAGAGTAACACCAGATTTACAAATTTGTTCTGATGGGGTAATCTCAGACTTAGGAACTTGTTCCCACATAGTTAAATTTTGGTAACATCTTAAGTGTTCAAAATATAAAGGAGTGATTACATAACACACTGCAGTGCCTCCATTCAACAGACTACTATGCAACTACTGAATGTGATCGAAGAATGTTCAATGACAGTAAGACGCTCATAATGTGCTATTAATTAAAAAGGCAATTTCCCAAACCTTACATATATGTACACTGCATTTTCATTTCATTTTGTGTATACATATTTGCTTGAGGAAAAAACTTGAGAGATATTCATAAAAATGTTATTGATTAGGATCTTTGATAGATAGAAGTATGAGTAATATTACATTTTCTTTTTATTACTTGTCTCTAAATTTTCTACAATGAATACGTATTTTCTTTATATATATATATATATAAAGAAAGTTATTAAAGAAAAGAGACACAGGGAAGTAAAATGATTTTCCTGGTGACCTGAAGTATAATTTCTGAAAAACAATGAAGAAAACCCAGGTTTTTGACATCTGGAGTCTAGAAATATGATCTGCACCAGATACTAAGAGAAAGACAGTGCAGCAAGACAACAACAAGACATTCCAACAGTCCCATAATGGTTTTAGGCCATGGTATTTATCTATTTACCACACTCAGAATCAAGCATAAATCTGAACCATGTTATTACCATTTTATGGTTTAATGCAAGGCTATACTTTTTTTTTTTTTTGTCTTTTACTGTGTCCTGCAACGGATCGCAACCCTCAGTGTTGCCCCCGTACCGGACCGGGACCGGCAACGGATCGCAACCCTCAGTGTTGCTCCCGCGCCTCGCTCAGCCAGTGAGCGGGAACCGGTCCGTATGTGGGATCCGAACCCTCGGTGGGAGCGCTGCCGCGCTTCCCAAGCGGCGCACTAGCGCAGTGCGCCACCGGGCCGGCCAAGGCTATACTTTTTTTTAAGTTTAGTAATTATTTATACTCAGTAACTTCCAATATTAAAAGATCTTTAAAAAAATAACAGTTTGGGGCCGGCCCGGTGGTGCACTGGATAGTGCGCCGCTTGGGAAGCGCAGCGGCGCTCCCGCCCGAGGGTTCGGATCCCACATACGGACCGGCTCCCGCTCACTGGTTGAGCGAGGCACGGGAGCAATACCGAGGGTTGCGATCCCGTTGCCGGTCCCCGGTCCGGTACGGGGGCAACACTGAGGGTTGCGATCCGTTGCCGGACACGGAAAAAGACAAAAAGACAAAAAAAAAAAATAAAAATAAAAAAAATAACAGTTTGCCATCTTTGATTCTTCAGTCATGGTTTGTTTTATACATAACCCTCCATGTTTGGGGCAGCAAACATAGAAACTGTCACTTAAACTGGAGGCACTGCCAGGAATCTGATTCTCAAGTTCTGAGTCAGCACTCCCACCAGCTCTCAGTGTTCATGACGCTCAGAACAAAGTCTGTACTTAGTCTAATTAACTCCCCTTTGTTCCTTTCTTCTTTTCAATAAAAAGCACTTTTGTGTTTTCTCACTCCATTTGCAGTGGATGAAAATGGACAGACTCTTACCTTTCTGTTTGTCTTGTGGACAGTAAGCACCAAACGGATGCGGTGTACTGTTACCATTAGGCCTGGAGGTGGCTGCAGCATTTTGACTGTTCTCAAAGCACAACCTGGAAAATGCCCCACACTCTACAGACTCCTAAGGGATGAAAATAAAAATTACACTTACTTTTTAAATATGTTCCATCTTAGTCAATTGAAGCAAAGCGAAAGAAGAATCAATGTATGAATAGTCTTTCAAGAGTCTATTGCATGTAAGTCCTCAACTGTGAAAAATCAAAATGGCCCTATCAGTTAAAGCATCGTTGAATACGAAATAAAAAATACTAACAACGTGGTACTAAGGATTAGGAGTGCTGATAGCCGACACAAAAAAGGATTAACTTTATTATTTTCTCCCCCACTTACAACTGGCTTCTTTCAAATTTTCTTCCATCTGGGAGTACAGCTTTTGGCAGTGTCAACAGAAGAATACAGTTCATGCCAACGGTGTTTCGCTGCCAACCAGCTGGTTCCTCCCTCTCTCTCTCTTTCTGCACAACTAAGTGTATATGCTCTAGGACAGGTCAGAACCCATGCAGGTTTGCCACTGAAATGTCATGAGTGTGCCCCACTGCAGACATTAGGTCTTCTGGCCAGGAGCTAAAACAAACTGCTGTGACAATGCCAGACAGTGGTTCTCCTTAGAGTATTTTTTCCCCCTTCCTATTTTGACTTGACACTCTGTAAACAAATCCATAGTTTCTTAAAACTGCTCTATCTAGAATAACACCCCCACAAGCCGTCTTCCACAGGTGCAGAAGAGGTAAGAGCAAGTGGCTGATTAGAGAGAACTTTAGCTATTTTTCCCAGAGGATTGAGGCACAAAGAACCGGGCTACAGGCTTGCTCGTATTATTTGCCTCCCTAACAGATTTCCAGGAAGTAAATAATTTGGAAACCATATCATGGCTGTTCCCTTGACCATTTGTAAGAGGAACATGCCACAAACAGGAAAACAGATCTGATCCCCCAAGCTCTTTCCTTCTGAGAAAAGCATTGGGCTAAAACAATGCATTTGATTTATATTTTCCTCTTTAGTTACAAAAATTCAGTATCTAGCTAGCTAAACAAAATATTTGAAACATTCAATTCATGCATTCTTAACGAAAATGTTTTCAGCTGGTGAAGGTCCTTTAGCTTTTTGTCAAAGCTTGTAACACTTTTCCCACACCCAATGTGTTATCCTTTGCTTCTGTGCTGCTCATCAAACCCAGCCTGGTAGAGGAGGTGAGCTATTCCTAAATTAAAGCTGGAGCCCTAGCAGGCAGAAGAGATAGGACTTGCCTTGCACAGCCTTGTGCTTTTTGATTTAACAATAACAACAAGAACAAAAATTTTTTTTCCTGCTTTTCCAGCTCTTTGATAAATGACACAATCAATATCACAACAACTGATCAGTAACCAGCCTAATTAAAGTATTCAGCCTGTAAAATAGAGCTGTCGTGGAGCCCTCCATTAGTGTCCCAGCCAATAAAAAATATAATGGATTTTTAAACATATTCTGCTTCTACTAAGATGAGCTGGCAGCAGGGAGGGAATGTTTTGGGGAAAGAAAAAACAAAACCAGGTCATAACCCATTTTTTTAATACCAAATCTCTAGGCTCAAATAGAATTACAATTGAACCTCAAGCTCATCCTTTGGAAGACACGTTTCTGTTTAAAATGATTTTGATTCAATCAAGGGCTTATTATGTATTCTTCACAAGGTCCTCATCAAAACTGTTTATGTATCTTGCATATCTGGGTAATGCGGGAAAAATCAACATCTATACATTTTGACCTCTCTTAAGTATATCCTTCAATTTTTTAAATATCAATACAATGTTCAAGCAACAATTTTGGTATTCTTGCCAAATCTAACTAATTGATTTGCCTGAATATGTGAGCAATGCTGAGACCTTTTTCTAGCTTATGGATGCTTTTTTATTGTACTGGAGGGGGACTGCTATTCCACAGGAGAATACACCGAAAACATGAGCGTACAACATATGCTTTGACACAGTAAAACAGATTTGGGAGATCAAATAGCTGCAAAATTTCTTTCAATTTAATAAAGATAAGCTGTACATTAGGCTTCTGTCTTTATAAGATATAATACTCTTTAATCTTCATGGGTACCACAGAGATTCTCAATAGCAGAGAGTCAAGTGCCTGCTCATTCCCCAATGGAAAGCATGTAAATATTAGGAAAACTAAAAATGGATCTTGTTTAAATATCCTCATAAAAATTGCTTTTTGCCCCAGTTCTTATTCCTGATCAATTCCCTGATGATCTATATTAAGGAGACACTTCTGAGGATGGGCAACAAACTAAAAGTCTAGTACTTTCTTCTGATTGGAATAATGTCAATTCTCCCCAGAGTGTGAGAATTAAAATGAAAACACCTGCAGTTAAGGAAAATGTAAATGGTAAAGTGTCCCAACTTGAGCCAAAATACATAACACCTATCCACTAGCTTCCACACGTATTTTCGAGAAAGACATGCAATAAGAGAAGATGAGAGGTGGGGGCATGGCTAACTCTTTTAGAACCATATGCATTTCTTTTCTTGTTTTAACTTTTGCTATCTGCACAGGCATTGCATACTAGAGCAGTGTCTTCTAGACTTTTCTATTAGTTGAGGTATCTTTGTTAAAGGAATCTTAAGGGAGATCTAACATGCAGACACATAGAAGGGATGACTGAGCACTCACATGCTATCCTTCCTACCCTCTCCAATGAATGGGTTCCATGGAGTCCTAGGTCTCTAGAGTAAGAACCAAATTAAACCAGATGGAGCCAATTCTCTCATGACAAGAAGAAGTAGATAACTATGTGCATAAGTAAAGGTATTAAATATTCATGAAATATTCTGTCACTTAAGCAGACCCAAATGTTGATAATGAGTTTGTTCATTATATATAGTCTCCAGTAATTGGCCAATTTACATTTACTTAACATCTACAAGGTTATGTACATAGGAGTATAAAAGGTACAGTTACTCCTTTCCAATGACTGATAATAAAACAAAGATATAGTTTATAACTTTATGACTCAAGTGTACTCTCTCATGAAATAGGTCTTAGGTGCAACTTTTTCATACATTCGACAATATTTATTGTGTCTACTATATGCTGGAAAATGAGAATATATTAAGGGATAAATCAGAGAACAATATCTCTCATCTACAAATACTGAGCTCTATGTATATAGTTACATAGCCGGGAAATGGCAAACCTAGAATTTGAACCTAAGCAATCCAAAACTCCAGAGCCCAAGCTTTTAGCCACAAGGAGCTCTATTACCATCTACTCTTGTTTAATTTAATAATCCTTTCATTTTCTAATTTTAAGTTAAACTTATTATTAAAACTAATGTTTTATATTAGTATTTTTTAATAAAGTTCTATTTTCACTTTGCATATTATTGTATTACATACACATAATTTGGCCTTAGGGAATATCCTAATATGATAATGTGTGATTTGCTGATTTTTTCTTAAGTTTTAATACTGTAACTTTTTCTTCTTATCTTTTCCTAAAATAATTTTAAGGAAAATTAAATAATTATTCTTCATATATATGAGAAAATAAGTTTTAGAAATATTTTATATTTATTGTTTGTATGTAAGTGAAATATTTAGGGATTTTAGCATTCAAGAATACCTTATATTTATCATTCATAGGTAAGTATCAAATCCATAAAAGATCATGTTAAAAAATTTCAAAAAGTAAGACTTCCATTAATTTAACAACATGAAGCAAACAGCTTGCTTAGATCAAATTTTAAATTTGTTAGGTCTCAGGTCTATATTATCTACGTGCACATCATGGAGAAGAATGTGGAGAGGTGACTGCTTTACAATGATATTCATGTTAACTGGTTAGAAACTTTCTAAGGTATGGGCATTGCTAGAACATCAACTAAAAAATATATGAAGATGTTTATGACTAGGTCCAGAACTCTAGAAATTTCTGGGGGGAAAACTAGAAAATATAGATCTGTTACATTTGATAAATGACTTACTTTATATGCACATTTTTACACTTTCTAGTTATATCTAAGACATACAACCACCTGTTCCCCACATAAACCCATCAGAGCCCTTCTGGGGCATATTTTTCCAAGTGCAGAATCAATATGAGTCTAGCTACCACACTACTAGAGGAGGTCTGCATATTCTGGTGGCCACTGGGGCAATTTTCTGAGGAAAATCAAGATTTGCATCACCTCCATTGGTCTCTCTGGCCTCCTCAGAATCACCAACTGGATCATCCCTCGTATATTTCCTTCCATGGACATTGATCGTCTAAGTGTTTCCATAGCTTCATGATTGGACTTTCCCAAAAGAGATTCTCCATTAACTGAAATTAGCTGGTCATTCACTCGGAGACGACCATCCTAAGGCAGAGGAAAGAAAAACAGTAATAAACAGAGGAAAGCATGGTGATGACATGTGGCTGTTTCAGGGAAAAGTTCAAGTTTAAAAATGAAAAAAGAAAAAATTAAACTATCAGGAATGCTTTATTTTCCGTGGCAGAAAAAGGTTCTGCAGCTTATCAAACAGTCACAAATACTAAAAACAATGAGTTGTGTAAAAGTATTTTTTAGAAACCCTGGAGTCCTGAGCTACAAAAATTTAGATATTTGTATACTGCCTCTTACCTAAATATTTGGCGAGCATGCTAATCTAGCCTGATTCTGCCTTTGCTCTGGCAGGCACCATGTTGCTGACTCAAGGGAAGGAGGTTTGGAAACAAAAGGAGGCAGTCATGTCTCTTGAAGGGAAGGTTTGCATTTTAAGACACACCAGAGAGAGACATCATGCTTAAATGTTGTGTGCTTGACAGTAGTAATGTGTCTCCCTAGATATTGTTGCTAGCTCTATCAAACAGGACTAAAAAAAATCTGATATGATTTTCTCTAACACAACCACAAGATTGCTGGTCTGTTAGTCTGCAAAAGAACACAGAGGTGTGCAGTGAAGGACCAATTTGCCCTGATATCTTCTGGCAGAAAAGCTTAACAAAGGGAATAGTCAAATTTCTTTCAGGGAGGCTCTGACTGATGAGTACTTTCACCCAGCAGCTTCAAGAAGGAACACTGCTTACTACAAAGTACAAAGAACCTTGGCATGTGGATATGCAGCCCAGACTCTGGTCTAAATCACTTCTAGGCACTAATCATCTTCAGCCAGGCGTCCCTCATATGCTGGGGTCTACGGCAGTAGCTAACAAACTGGGATGCCAGCTCTTCCTATGAAAGAACTTGAGGGGACCACCGTACATTCTCCCAACAGGCAGCATGAGAAGAAAGAAAGATGTTTAAACTGTTGACAGCCAGATTGCGGACATGTACTATACCATTTTACAGATGTACTAATATACCATTTTACCCTCAGGTACAAAGATCTTTCTTTGAGGTACAGATGCAACTGGAAATGTTATCATCCTGGTGCTGCTACTAATAAATTTAACAGAAATAACAGTAGACACATATAAAAATTTACCTTTACAGAAAATTTTTCCATAAATTAACTCTAGTGATTCTTACAGAACCCAAGAAGTTAAGGAGATTTCATGTTTTCGGAAACATTTTAGAGAAGGAAACCCAGGCAGGTAAGTGATGTAACCTGCCCCAGGTCACAAAAGCAAGTCAATGGCAAAACTGACTTAAGTCTGGCTTTCATCAATCTTGGCTCTTTAGTCTTTCCCCTACAATTCCCTTTGTTATTGGTTTTAGGTTATAGTTGTCCAACACTAAAATAGGGAAAGGAAAACATTAAAGAGTTTTTGTGGTAAGAAGTATCTGGGATCCATGTTGAAATTAACAGAATAAAATGCAAAAGAGTAAACCTCCCCTGAGAAATGAGAAAACCAGACACACACAATGAACACCAGAAACCAACTGCACAGCTTTGGGAGGGAAATCCCATAGACAGGTTGATAAACTTGGACTGATGCAGTAGCAGATGGTCAGAGGAAGTCCCTCTGTTGACAGCAGGGAAAAGGGAGAGTGGTGAGAGCTGCTGTCCCCAGGAGAGCTAACGCCCTCAAATGACCCCATGGAGATGCACTGCACTTGCTGCCTGCTGGAGAGGGTGTTGACCACGTAGCACTGTGGAGACCCTCAAAGGAGAATACCCAAAGGAATACACACCCACTTGAGGTAGAAGGTGAGATCGCAAGGCAACGGGATCAACAGAGAAGGGTGTAAAATCAGGAATGTGACCATTTAAGAGGACTGCCTCAACAGAGCTCAACTTTCCCTGTCTTCCTCTTGTTTTCCCATATCACTTAACCTTTCTTTACCCTAGTTTAGAGCAAGTCTGGAAATGAGATGTACAGGAAAGGCCAAACAGGAAAGAAATTTCTTTGTTTTTGTTAACCAGTGTTGAATAAGGCACGTAAAAGAATAAGATTAAGCCTACCTGAAATGGGGTAAAACAAAAACAACCTTAATGGCTTAGTCATGTAAAGTGAGACACCACTGGACAAATTATTCTGTTCTGTTCTGTCATGTAATGGAAGGAGAGCTACTGGCCTGAATCTGTCACTAAAAATCTTTTTAGGATGACAGGAGACTGATGTGTGGTTTTTAAAGAGGAGGAGGAAGCAGAAGACTTGGATCGAGATCCTAGTGCTACTAACAGGAAGTGAGGTCTAGTGTTCAGATCTGTAGAGAGACAGTCTTGGCAGGACACCTCATTCGCTATGACAGGAAGAAGAAAGATAGAGATTGAAACTTTATGAGTACCACTAGAGATGGAGGGAATGAAATCTGAGCAAGATCCCACCTGGTAACCTCTTGGGAACCTTCTCTTTGAAGGAAGTATGGGGCAGGGTCAGAGTGAAGAGATAAGGGGATATGAGAGCAGCACTTTTTGCAAATCTTTTATCAACAGCTATTAAGCACAGACTTTTATTTTCAACTACATTCTAAGTCTCAAGTATGCAGAATTACATGGAAGTAGGACATGTTTACTGTAACCAAGTCCCAGGCAAAAAGACAGGTCAGGTCACCTCAGGGCAGCTGGAATTTTTTTTTTTAAGACATTCACATTCATCACAAGTGTCACCAGAGAGTTGTGGGTGCGATAAAAATCCACATGCTTTCATTTTCAGGCTTATCGTAGTGGTGTGTGCTTTATCATTATAACATAAATTATGGGTAATTTCATTAATGGTGATGCCAGTAAGTACCATGTTTTCCTAACATTTAGAATATAATCACAGAACTTAGAGCTGGAATGTTAGAAGGTCATCTTGTGTAACTTCTTCCATTTACAGATGAGTAATGTGATGCCCAAAGAGGATGAGAAACCATTTATTGAACACCTATTAGGAGAAGGTACTTCCACATACGTTAGGACTTGCTCAGCTAATTAAGGTCAGAGCTGGAACAGAATAGCCCAAGTCCTGAATTCTACAGTGTTCTCTATTTACTAAAATGTTCTGTCTTCTACATGGATGATAATGACTAGTCTCCAAAGGGGTAATGCTTCAAGAAAAAAAGACTTTCAAGACCCAAGAGAACAATGTGCCACCAGATGTCTCTTGGGAGAGAACACTATATGAAATGCAGAGACAGAATAGAAGATGAGGAGAGAGGAAACTGTGTAGGGGGATGACAGAGCAAGGAAGCAAGCTGGAGGAGCACCAAAAAGCCTGTCTGCCTACTTAGCTACACACACATCCAAGCATCTCAGTGTCTAGTCTTGATCTAAAATGAAGTCAATGCTATGAAGAACTCACTAACTCAAACTCATCAAATACCCTTCAAAATTGTGCATGTCCTTTTTGTTCTGGAATAATTTTGACCAAGAAAATTAGCTTTTTATGGTTTTTTTCTATTAAAATTATATTCAAGTAAATACTTAGGTATTAGAAAACTAACCCTCGACTGACTATATAAGTGAATTCAACTATCCAAGGATGTTACTTAGTAATTCTAGAATACTCATTTCATTGCAATCTAGGTCATGCTTGCATTTGTCAAAGAAAAATCTCCCTTTCCTTCCTACCTTACTCCCATCAAAACCCTAAGCAAAAAGAACTCAACCATGTTCCCCACCTCTGGCACCATACTGCACCCCCCCCCCCCCGCCCAATTCTGTCCATCCTCAAGCTAGGAAAGAGTAAAAGAAATTCCCAAAGAAAATGAAAACTTTTAAAAAGAAGAAGAAAAACAGAGTAAAGATAAAAAGTAACTTTCTGAGGGCACTTTAGGACAAACAAAAACTCAAAAACTTGTACAAAGTTTAGGCCTTCTCCATGTCCTGGGAAGGCTTCCAATCTCATCAGCCCTAACTGGTTCAATCGCGGTAGGAAGGAGAGTGGACTAGGAGACAAAATGTTTGAGTTACACCTCCCTTTTACTGAATACCTAATATAGGCCAGAATATTCCACATACACGCTCTCATTCATTTCTTACCACCACCCTGTGATATAAATACTATTCCTTTCTTTTTAAGAGATAAAAAGATGGAGGCTCAGAGAAATTAAGTGACTTGTCAAAGGGTACTAGCATGGCCAGGTCTCCTTGCCTCTAAAGTTCAAGGACATTATGCTATGTTGCTTCTAGAGTCAGAGTTCTGATTATTAAAGGCACTATAATTATTAATGACAATAATTATTTAATGAGTTGCTACACTGTGTAGTCATTGTGCTAAACCCTTTACATGCACTAGACAATTAATCCTTACAACAACCTTACACATTTAAGACTATTGCTCCCATTTTATAAAAGAAGAAATTGAGGCTCAGAGAGGTTAAATGAACTGTTACAAGTCATGTTTCTAAAAGCAGATTTGAACTAGGTCTGGGTCACTCTGGAGTCCATGTTTTCAACCACTTTGCTAGTAATTCTTAAACTTTTGGGGCTCTTACCCCACTTTGAGAATCTAATAAAAGCTACAAATGCTCATCACTTAAAGACAAATATTTACATCAGGGTTTCTCCACAGTTGCACATTTGGCACAGATAATTCTTTGTAGTGAGGGGCTGTCATAATGTTGTAGGATATTTCAAGTGTTTTCTAAAGCATATTTATGACTTCCATGGAGTCCAGTGACCTTGTAGCTCAGGCCCTGTGGTATTTCGTGGTGCCTAAGTACTACCTCTGCCACGGTTACTGGTGACAGTGTGTGGCTTAATCCAACTCTCTTGGCCAGTTTTTTGTATAACACTCCTTTGCCTCTAAAGTTCTAATGAATACAGAGGGGAGAGTAAGAAAGTCCTGGCAAAGAGCTAGCATCTGGAGAGTATGAGAGAAGCATACAGGGGTGGGTTGGCTTTCCCAGGGGCAGCTGGCTGTAGCCCAAGGCCAGTCTGCATTAGACCAGGGTATTGAGAGGATTAATCATGACCAGATATTGGCTCCTGCTTCTGCAGGTTTCTA